TTCCAGTGAAGCTCCATGCAAACTGGAGGAGCAAAACCTCTTCTCAGGTGCTTTAGGACCCCTAAGACTCGATGTTGGGTTCAGAGTAGGATCTCTGTCCTTCTTTCATCCCCCCACTCTTGTTTGGCTGCATCTTGTTTGTGCCATTTTCTCCTTTCTGCATCCTTCTACCCTTTTGACATCTCAATCGTTCCTCTACCACTATTATCACTGCCTTTGTCTTGTGCTCTGGCCACACCCTCAATCTCAGAGCATTGAGCTGTACAGCATGGAAACAGACCCTTCGGTCCATGCTGACCAGTTATACTAAATTAATCTAGTCCCATTTGCCAACATTTGGCCCATATCCCTCTAAACCCTTCCTATTCATATATCCATCCAGATGCCTTTTAAATGTTGTAATTGTACCAGCCTCCACCACTTCCTCTGGCAGCTCATTCCACACACGCACCACCCTCTGAATGAAAAAGTTGCCCCTTAGATCCCTCTTAAACCTTTTCCCTCTCACTTTAAACCTATGCCCCTCTAGTTTTGGTCTCTCCTACCCTGGGAAAAAGACCTTGGCTATTCACCCTATCCATGCCCCTCATGATTTTATAAACCTCTATAAGGTCACCCCGCAGCCTCCGACGCTCCAGGGAAAATAGTCCCAGCTTATTCAGCCTCTCCCTACAGCTCAAACTCTCCAACCCTGGCCACATCCTTGTAAATCATTTCTGAACCCTTTCAAGTTTCACAACATCCTTCCTATAACAGGGAGACCAGAATTGCACACAGTATTCCAAAAGTGGCCCTAACCAATGTCCTGTACAGCCTCAACATGACCCTCCCAACTCCTATACTCAATACACTGACTAATAAAGACAAGCGTACCAAACACCTTCTTCACCGCCCCGTCTACCTGCGACTCCACTTTCAAGGAGCTATAACCCCAAGGTCAGAGATGGTAATAACTGCCGATGCTGGAGTCTGAGATAACACAGTGGGGAGCTGGAGGAACACAGCAGGCCAGGCAGCATCAGAGGGGCAGGAAAGTTGATGTTTCGGGTTGGGACCCTTCTTCAGAAAACCCCAAGGTCTCTTTGTTTGGCAATAATAAGGTCCTGGGGAGTATTAAGTGTATGTCCTGCCCTGACGCAGCACCTCACATTTATCTAAATTAAACTCCATCTGCAACTCCTCGGCCCATTGGCCCATCTGATCAAGGTCCCATTGCATTCTGAGATAACTTTCTTCACTGTCCACCTCCACTTGCTACTCTTTTCCCTCTGACTTCAGCACCTCAAACAGTATTTTCCATGGCCTTTTGATTCTGAAGGAGAGTCATATCAGACTCGAAACCTTAACTCTGTTTTTCTCTCCACAGACACTGCCGGACCTGCTGCGTTTCTCCAGCAATTTCTGTTTGGGTTTCAAACTCCAGACCACCTGCTCTTGCGTTACTCCCAAGTCCAAATGCTCAGCAGCCCTTGGGGCTAAACGTTTCAGGGGAAACCAGGTCAATCCTCATTAGCTCCTCCGACTCCCTTTCCCTCCCTCCCCTATCCTCCTCCCACTTGATCTCAATCCTATTGCCGACAGCTGGAAGTTTTGAAGATACAAACAGGAAATTACTGAGTTAATGTAGCACCTGGAAGGGGCTGAGTGGCAAATACAGTCCCCATACAGTGAGCAGTAGGTGGCTACAGTAATAGTTACATTTATATAGCACCGCTGTAACAGCTCAAACCATTCATGACGGTAACTCCCTTTGGAGTACAGAGCCACATCTGTACTTCACAGCCTTGGGGAAGTGTGAAAAATTCCCACGGAATCAGACATTTGTGCATCCCAATCCCAATCCCAATCCCAATCCGGATATGGCTGATCTTCACCCAGTCTGGCCGTCCGAGACCGGGAGTCAGGGAGTGCAGCAATGTCTGAGGCACCTCCCTGCTCAGGGAAAGAAGCATTGTACAACCATAAGACATTGGAGCAGAAATTAGGCCATTCGGCCCATCAAGTCTGCTCAGCCATTCAATCATGGCTGATAAGTTCCTCAACCCCATTCTCCCGCTTTCTCCCCGTAACCCTTGATCCCCTTGATAATCAAAAACCGATCTATCTCAGTCTGAAATGTACTCAATGACCAGGCCTCCACAGCCTTCTGTGGCAGTGAGTTCCATAGATTCACCACTCTCTGGCTGAAGAAGTTTCTCCTTATCTCCGTTCTAAAAGATCTTCCCTTTACTCTAAGGCAGTGCCCTCGAGTCCTAGTCTCTCCTACCAATGGAAACATCTTCCCAACATCCACTCTGCCCAGTCCATTCAGTGTTCTGTAAGTTTCAATTAGATCCCCCCTCATCCTTCTAAACTCCAATGAGTATAGTCCCAGAGTCCTCAAACGTTCCTCATATGTTAAGCTTTCCATTCCTGGGACCATTCTCGTGAACCTCCTCTGAACCCACTCCAGGGCCAGTACATCCTTCCTGAGATATGGGGTCCAAAGCTGCATGCAATACTCCAAATGTGGCCTGACCAGAGCCTTATAAAGCCTCAGTAGTACATCCCTGCTTTTATATTCAAGTCCTCTCAAAATAAATGCCAACATTGCATTTGCCTTCCTGACTACTGACTCAACCTGCAAGTTTAACTTGAGAGAATCCTGGACTAGAACTCCCAAGTCTCTTTGCACTTCAGACTTCTGAATTTTCTTCCCACTTAGAAAATAATCCGTGCTTTTATTCTTCTTACCAAAGTGCATGACCTCACACTTTCCCACGTGGTATTCAATCTGCCACTTCTTTGCCCACTCTCCTAACCTGTCCAAATCCTTCTGTAGCCTCCCTGCATCCTCAATACCAACTGTCCCTCCACCTATCTTTGTATCGTCTGCAAACTTAGCCAGAATGCCTACCATTCCTTCATCTAGATCATTAATGTATAAAGTGAAAAGTGGTGGTCCCAACACTGACCCTTGTAGAACACCACTTGTCACTGGCTGCCATCCTGAGAAAGGCCACTTTATCCCCTCTCTCTGTTTTCTGCCAGACAGCCAGTCTTCTATCTGTCTGAGCTACCTCCCTGCTCAGGGGGACCGGAAGTGTCTGAGGTACCTGCACCCAGGAAAGGCAGGGGTGAGGAGGGGTCATTTGTGTTCACCCCAGTCTCTTGGACAATAGCCATCTGTCACTTTGCACGCACACTCCTCCACCCCCACCTCAGCCCCCAACCAAATATCTCTAAAAAAGACCGTGCCACCACGAACTGATGGGTGTTTTTGGGATCCTGCTGTGCACTGCTGCATTTCCTCCACGAGCTCGGGATGGACTTGAGTTGGCGAATCGTAGGAGGCGGCGGCCATTGGGCCCGCTGTTCTGTCTCCTTGGGCCAATCTCCTTCATTTCCCCCACATCCCCCAGGCACTAGCTAACTGCAGCCGGCTCTTTCTTCAAATGAGCCAGCGGCAACTGCCCTCCCTTCAAGGAGTTGCCTGTGAACTTTGACCCTTACCTGGACCCCCCAGTAGAGTATGGTTCAGGCTGTTCTTGTATGGTCCTTACACCCCACCTCCAGGGGGGCCAGGAGGGCTTAAGGGCAAATGTTCAATACTGCATACCATCTAAAATCCCCCAGTAACCAGCCCCTTAAGTCTGGCTAAGTATCTGTTCATTCCTCTTTGGCAGTTCAACCCCTGACCTATTTAAAATTCCCAATCCTGGTGGGAGACAGGTCCAGGGGGACAGTGATGTGGAACTGAGGGAACAAAGAAACAATAAGGAAATCACGAGGGGCTTTGGAGTTATTGTGCGAGGGTCTCGCTGCTTTCTGGGAGTTACTTTTTGTTTAAAAGAAACCATCCGACATGTTATTTCTGCTGTTGGAATCTTGCCTGGCGGCTGCCAACGCAGGTCCTGCGATTTTTGGAAGAGCTTTGCTCAGAGGTTCGAGACAAGAATTTAAAACGGAGCTCGCAGAGATTTTCAAATTCCTGAATTGCAGAATCAGAAACAAAATCCAACAGTCTCAGCATTCCACACGTGAGGAGCCAGTGAGGAGAAATACTGAATCACTCACTAAATTATACTGCTTCCTACTCTTCACTCACTGCATTGGGGGTTGGGGAACACACAGTTAGACTGGGAGAGTTACTGCAATGGTGCGGGTTCAGTTCCCACACACAGGCTGAGGCTACCATGAAGGCCTCTCCTTCCCTACCTCTCCCCTCGCCTGAGGCATAGGGACCCTCAGGTTAAACCCCCACCAGTCCGTCTCTCTCTCTCTCAAACGAGACAGCAGTCCCGTGATCCTCCGGGTCTTTCTTCCCTGTCCCTCACTGCCCCTTCAACTCAGCATCTTGCTCGGCCATTTCAGAGGGCGGTTAAGAGGCACAAAGTGATACAGTGATGGGCCCTTCAGCCCAATGAGTCCATGCCGACCATAATCCCAAACTAATCTAGTCCCACCTGCCTGTGCTTGGCCCATATCTCTCCAATAGGGGGAGGCGATGGCCTAGCGGTATTATCGCTGGACTGTTAATCCCGAGACCCAGATAATGTTCCGGAGACCCGGGTTTGAATCCCACCGCGGCAGATGGTGGAATTAAAATATCTGGGATTAAGAGTCTAATGATGACCATTGTCAATTGTCAGGAAAAACCCATCTGGTTCACTGATGCCCTTTAGGGAAGGAAACTGCCATCCTGACCTGGTCTGGCCTACACGTGACTCCAGGCCCACAGCAATGTGGTTGACTCTTAACTGCCCTCTGGGCAATTAGGGATGGGGCAGTAAATGCTGCCTGGTCAGCAATACCCTCATCGAATGAATAAAGGAAAAAATAACTTTTCCTATTCATGAACTTATCCAAATACCTTTTAAATGTTGTAATTGTACCCACATCCACCACTTCCTTTGGCAGTTCATTCCACACACGAACCACCCTCTGCGTAAACAAAAATTGTCCCTCATGTCTTTTTCAAATCTTTCTCCTCTCACCTTAAAAATAAGCCCCCCTAGCCTTGAAATCCCCCACCCTAGGGAAAAGACACCTGCCATTCACCTTATCTATACCCCTCATTATTTTATAAACGTCTATAAGGTCATCCCTTAACCTCCGACACTCCAGCCTATCCAGTCTATTCTAATAACTCAAACCCTCCAACCCCGGCAACATCCTGGTAAATTTTTTTCTCCAGCTTAATAATATCCTTCCTGTAACAGGGTGACCAGAACTGCACACAATACTCCAGAAGAGGCCTCACCAACGTCCTGTACAACCTCAACATGATGTTAACCAGATCGCTGTGGACCTGGAGTCATATGTAGGCCAGACTTCCCTCTCTAAAGGGGCATCAGTGACCCAGATGGGGTCTTTAACAACAGTCGATGATAGTTTCATGGTCTCTGTCACTGAGAGGAGATTACAGTCCCATTATTCAGTCCAGTTGCTGTGGTGGGATTAGAACTCACATCCTCAGAGTATTATCCTGATGCCTCTGGATTACTGGCCAAAAGGTGTGACCCAATAGATCAGCACCACCTTCCTGAGGCAGACCAAATGAGCTGTGTTCGCCATTACTGACACCAACATGGCTCATTATCCAGAGTGCTCGGCTCGAGCCAAAGGCCTGGGAGCACCTGACTGTCATTCACCACAAACGCCGCGAAACACCAACAGGGGCTGAGGGAAACCGATAGTATCGAGAATCAGCCTCTAACAAACCAGGAACAAGTTAGAAACCTCACCCTAGACCATCAACTGTACACCCTACAATCTGAATATTACCTTACTGAGGGAGTGCCGCACTGTCGGAGGGTCAGTGCTGAGGGAGCGTCTCACTGTCGGAGGGTCAGTGCTGAGGGAGCGCCGCGCTGTCGGAGGGTCAGTACTGAGGGAGCGCCGCACTGTCGGAGGGTCAGTGCTGAGGGAGCGCCGCACTGTCGGAGGGTCAGTGCTGAGGGAGTACCACACTGTCGGAGGGTCAGTGCCGAGGGACCGGGCGCTGTCGGAGGGTCAGTACTGAGGGAGCGCCGCACTGTTGGAGGGTCAGTGCTGAGGGAGCGCTGCACTGTCGGAGGGTCAGTGCTGAGGGAGATCTGTACCATTGAAGAGTCCGGTCTGAGTGAGTGCTGTAGGAGGGGCCAGCTATCGGATGAGATATTAAACTAAGATTCCCATCTGCTCTCTCAGGCCTGTGTAAAAGACCCTGTGACAATCCAAAGAGGATCTGGTGCATTGGGCATTGTTTATCCTCCAACCAACTAAAACACATGACTGCAGCCCTGATATTCTTTGTGGGAGCTTGCTGTGCCCAATGCAGCTGTTCTGTTTGCTGAATTCCGACAGTGGCTACACTTCAAAACATTGTCGGTGAAACCCTTTGGGAATGATCCTGAAGGTGTGAGAGGTGCTATACAAATGCAAGTTCTCTCTTTCCTGACACTTTTGCTGCAGCGTACAAATTCTCATTTCTCTGGAGCTCCAGATAAAACCGTTTCGAAACATTCTCCTGTTCAGACCCAATCTCAGTTGAGAGCTCACAGACCCCAAGCATATATCACGAGCTTGTTAAGCCTTCCTGTAATGTTACAGTGTTCAAACCCATCAGGCTCACCCATCCTTAACCATCAGTAATTAGCAGTTGGTTAGAAGATATGAGGGAACACTGCAGACTTCAAATGAAAAAGCAAACCATTTATGCATATTTTTGTTAATGTTCTCAGTGTCATTGTAAAGCATTGCACATGAACTGAGCCGTTCCAAAGCCCATTCGGTGTGGATATCAATGATGTTAAACACTTGGGAGTACATTAAGGGTTGGAATGTAATCAAATGGTCAAACTGTTTAGGTCTGCAGTTATAGGGGTCAGGCCAACAGTGATATCCTTAACAATGACTCCAGTTGTGAGTGAGGCCAAAGTTAGGGCCATAAAGACAATCACTAATAAATTTACCAATTTACCATTTACAGTCAGAGGATCCCTGTTTAACCAGAGAGAGGCGAGAATATCGAATTCACTCCCACAAAGTATGATTAAGACAAATCACTCCTTTATCAAAACTGGTCACAGCATGCGAGTGTCATACCGAGGCCCAGCATTTATTGCCCATCCCTAGTTGCCCCCTTGAGAAGGTGGGGGTGAACTGCCTCCTTGAACCGCTGCAGTCCATGTGCTGTAGGTTGACCCACAATGCCCGTAGGGGGGGAATTCCAGGATTTTGACCCAGCTACACTGAAGGAACGGCGATATATTTCCAAGTCGGGATGGTGACTGGCTCAGAGGGGAACTTGCAGGGGGTGGTGTTCCCATGTATCTTCTGCCCTTGTCCTTCTAGATGGAAGTGGGTCGTGGGTTTGGAAGGTGCTGCCTGAGGATCTTTGGTGAGTTTCTGCAGCGCATCTTGTAGATGGTACACACTGCTGTTACTGAACGTCGGGGGTGGAGGGAGTGGGATGATTGTGGATGTAGTGCCAATCAAGCGGGAGATGCTTTGTCCTGGATGGTGTTGAGTTTCTTGAGTGTTGTTGGGGCTGCACTCATCCAGGGCAAGTGGGGAGTATTCCCTCACACTCCTGACTTGTGCCTTGTAGATGGTGGGACAGGCTTTGAGGGAGTCAGGATGGGAGTTACTTGCTGCAGGATTCCCAGCCTCTGACCTGCTCCTGTAGCCCCTGTGTTTATGTGGTGAGTCCAGTTGAGTTTCTGGTCAATGGTAACCCCCAGGATGTTGATAGTGGGGGATTCAGTGATGGTAACACCATTGAATGTCAAGGGGCAGTGGTTAGATTGTCTCTTGTGGGAAGTGGCCATTGCCTGGCATTTTTCTGGTGTAAATGTTAATTGCTATTTGTCAGCCCAAGCCTAGATATTGTCCTGGTCTTGCTGCATTCAGACACCTTTAAGGGCAAGCTGAAAACAACACACAAAATGGGTAAAGAGATAACAAGGTGTAGAGCTGGATGAGCGCAGCAGGCCAAGCAGCATCAGAGGAGCAGGAAGGCTGACGTTTTGGGCCTAGACCCTTCTTCAGAAATGGGGGAGGGGAAGGGGGTTCTGAAATAAATAGGGAGAGAGAGGGAGGCGGATAGAAGATGGATAGAGGAGAGGATAGGTGGAGAGGAAACAGACAGGTCAAAGAGGCGGGGATGGAGCCAGTAAAGGTGAGTGTAGGTGGGGAGGTAGGGAGGGGATAGGTCAGTCCAGGGAGGACGGACAGGTCAAGGGGGCGGGATGAGGTTAGTCGGTAGGAGATGGGGGTGTGGCTTGAGGTAGGAGGAGGGGATAGGTGGGAGGAAGGACAGGTTAGGGAGGCAGGGACGAGCTGGACTGGTTTTGGGATGCGGTAGGGGGAGGGGAGATTTTTGAAGCTTGTGAAATCCACATTGATACCATTGGGCTGCAGGGTTCCCAAGCGGAATATGAGTTGCTGTTCCTGCAACCTTCGGGTGGCATCGTTGTGGCACTGCAGGAGGCCCAGGATGGACATGTCGTCTGAGGAATGGGAGGGGGAGTTGAAATGGTTCACAACTGGGAGATGCAATTGTTTATTGCGAACCGAGCGTAGGTGTTCTGCAAAGCGGTCCCCGAGCCTCGGCTTGGTTTCCCCGATGTAGAGGAAGCCACACCGGGTACAGCAGATGCAGTATACCACATTGGCAGATGTGCAGGTGAACATCTGCTTGATGTGGAAAGTCTTCTTGGGGCCTGGGATGGAGGTGAGGGAGGAGGTATGGGGGCAGGTGTAGCACTTCCTGCGGTTGCAGGGAAAAGTGCCGGGCGTGGTGGAGCTGGAGGGGAGTGTGGAGCGGACAAGGGAGTCACGGAGAGAGTGGTCCTTCCGGAAAGCAGATAAGGGTGGGGAGGGAAAAATGTCTTTGGTGGTGGGGTCGGATTGCAGATGGCGGAAGTGTTGGAGGATGATGCGTTGGATCCGGAGGTTGGTGGGGTGGTACGTGAGGACGAGAGGGATTCTGTTTTGGCTGATGTT